TTATTGACTCCTACACAGAAGAGGAGTTTAACATCCTCCCCACAGAGGAGGATTATCACAAGATGAGAATTATCACAAGATGAGAATTAGGGATATGTTCATTCGACTGAACACGTTCGAAAAGTATAACTCGGGTCGGGTAAACCTATATGAACAGCTGATTGGATCTACCCTACCACAGCCCACCCTACCATTTCAGATTACTTTTCGTAATCGCCTTTATGTATTCAGTGGCTGGGTTCGTTAACTGCGAGCAAAATTTGACAGATGTCATGTGATTTGACACGTGAAAAAAGATAAGTGATCACGTGACGTCCGTCAATATTTGCTTTTTTCGCTCGCAGGTGCAATTACCGAACCAAACCAGTATCAAAAAATCAAAACCATCGATCATAACTCAGATTTCTTGAAAAAATAACCTGCTTCCGGTTATGACGTTTTCGAGGGCACTGGCGGACTGGCACAGTAGAACTATGTAGGTCGGCTTCGCTTACCTTGGGTCCCGCGCCCGGCAATACTGGGTATATATCTTTTTTGAGGCAATTAAAGCATAACGCATTCTGCTGACTGTGCTGCTTGTATAGTGTGATGGTCCCCAACACTTGGGCGTAATGGGCAAGTTACGTGGACATAAACACTAGTTGTCCACCCCATCGAACGAGGTTACGCAGACCACCCCGCTTAAAGGGGGTGTAACCTCAAAATACAACTTGCCTTGCGTGACGTCATAAACACACGCAAAAATTACAAAACCTAAATATTTAAATTGACGCAATGATGGGGGTTAGAAAGTAAAAACAATACGCTAATGTCAATAATATACGACAAGCATGAGCAAACGCGCGCACAGCGGACGCAGTTTGTGCATATGACGTCACATGCACCATATTCCTTCTGTTCGGGGTCATGAAAATGAAACCCCTTCCAAGACAAGGTACGGACTCGGGCTGTCACACCCTCCCAGCTTTATGGAGCCAGAGTTCGCCTCGTTGTCCAGAATTATGGGATAGTGGCGATGCAGTGACCTTGCAGTTCTGCCCAACTGATCAGTACAAAACCTTTCACTGTTAAGACATAGCACCCTCTGTTGCCAGAGTACTCGTTTGAACGAGACGAGTCGCCGTTCGGTTCTGTGACCTATCTGGTGTGGTGTGGAAGAAGCTCAAGAACTTTGCGCCCATCATTCCGAATGGCATAAGCACTGACGAAAGTGGGATCGGTCAGGAGTTCAACTCCCTAGGGCTGTTGCGAGATTGGAGTGTGAACACAAGATTCCGAGTTCCCGCGTTGCTAGACTTCGGTGAACATTCTGGAAAACAGAGACGTACCGACTATTTTTAGAGCATATTTTTATATCCGATTGCACACACGAGGGCCCCTAAGAAATGGGGGCCCGGTCGGCATTTGCCGACCTGCCGACCTAGCCAGCCCGCCACTGTTCGAGAGAATAACCTGTTAGTTACTGATAGTAAAATAACCTGTTATAACCGATTAAAGTGAAGTGGATAAATTGGTTATTCAAATAACCGGTTATTTTTGGACATCCCTATTCGGTTCAATATCGTTCCGGTCCGGCTCCCTGATATGGATGCATGGATGTATACATCGATACTACGCTCTCGACGATGGAACATATGGAAACGGATTTGTCATATCGATCACTGTGAACTGTGAAGTATCCTGACAAAAGTTATCATCTGACAAAATGCCGAAGAAACCCGAACAATCAGTGGCATCGGTAATGAATTTTTTATTACACACATGCATTTATTATTATTCAAAATTTGGTTTTAATGGGGTTGTCAGGAACAGGGTGACACCAGTGGCGTACACTCGATCCACCTATACGAATATAGATTTATACGAAAATATACAAAATTAAATAATCATATGACAATTATTCAAATACTGTACATGAGATTAAATTCTTCACTTCACGAATGGAGATTTATACGAAAATATGCAAAATTATATAATCAGAGATGACAATCATCCAAAAACTGTACCAACATGGGATTAGATTCATACTAACGAGGAAGGTTGAGGGGGTTAATTGTCATCAGGAACAGGGTGACACACTCGATCGACCTACGAATGGATATTTATACGAAAATGTACAAAATTATATAATCAGATGACAATTATTCAAAAAGTATACATGTGGGAATCAGAAGACAATTATTCAAAAACTGTACATGGGATATTAGATTCATACTATCTATAAGGGCTTGTCAGAAAAAGGGTGACACCAATGTCGTACACTCGATCGGATTACGAATGGAAACTATACAAAATATACAAAATTACCTAATCAGATAACAATTATTCAAAAACTGGACATGGGATTTAATTCATACAAATGGGGGAGGTTAAGGGGGTTGTCAGAAACAGGGTGAAACCAGTGGCGTACACTCGATCGACCTTTTGTTCGTCGATTTTTATCTGATACTTTCCGTATGAGGAGCGTGGGGGTGAAGTATATGGCAAAAACAGGTGTGACGTCAGGTGATCATTGGCATTCTAATGTAAGGGTGCCACCAGCTCACATTCCTTGTGAGTATCAGATTAAAATCGACGGACTTTACGAATGGAGATTTATTCGAAAATATACAAAATTATATAATCAGATGACAATTATCCAAAAACTGTACTACATGGGATTAAATTCATCCTAATGGAGAAGGTGAAGGGGGCTGTCAGAAACAGGGTGAGACCAGTGGCGTAGACTCGATCGACCAACGAATGCAGACTTACCTATACCATTATACAACTCACTGTACGTTATTCCCATATGACACGAGAAGCTTAATAAGTGATAAGCCTTTTGGGATTATCGCGCTTGGTGACATTTATAGCAAATTCTATTATAGATTTTTTTTTAAATTTTAAAGTATTGAAGTTTAGTTCGTTGTATAACCTTTTTGAATACCACTCGATGTTTCAGGATTACCTAATACTTTTACCTGACACTCAACGCGTTACCAGCAACACCACTCCTCCTTCGGAGTCGTGGTGTTGCTGCGTAACGCGTTTCGTGATAGGTAAAAGTATTATCCGGTAATCCTGAAACCTCTTGTGATATTACATTCGAAAATATACAAAATTATATAATCAGATGACTAGTGTTTCATTAGCAATCATAAATAATTTTCCTGTTGACGATTTGATAATTTTATTATTTATACAATTTATATAAAACATTTAGGAACTACTGACTTCGAAACTTATTTCTTTCGCATCCATTTATCCACTTCTTGTCGGATTTCAGCTATTTGTTGAGTTCCCGTTCTACAACAACCTCCAACGTATTCAACGCCCATTTCTAACCATTTAGCGACATAACTTGCTATAGGGGCACATTCTTCTTTAATGTAGCTAAAGGAAAGTTTACAATAAAAAAAGGTATTTTAAAGTTGTAGCTTATTTAGGTATTTAGCAGGAATACTAAATAAACCCATAGATGGTTATGAAAAGTGAGACGAAAATCTACCAACTATAAATTTTAAAGAGTTAAACTAAACCACATCTACATTGACCTACACAAAAAACAAATTACTCTATTTCTAGGTACAACAAAAAGAAGCTGTACCTATGTCGTTCCATGCATGATTTTATTATGACCCTGTAAGATTGGTCTCAATTTCAACACTTTAGAATTCCAGTATGGACCTGATAGGTACAGTAGGATAACATTTATATTTTTGATCCTGACCTAATGAAAGACCTTTCTTTCTGATTTCAAAGATTGACCACCAAAGAATTATAGGTACGTACCTATACTTCCAACAGAGCTGGGCAGGGCTTGAGTGCTTTGTGCTTGCGAAAGTGCTTGAAGCACTTTGAGGACTTGAAAGTCCTGTGCTTCAAGCCCTTTTATAGATTTGTAATTGGGGCTTGCAAAGTAAATTAAGTACTTTAGAAAAGTGCTTGGTAATTTGTAATTGAGAAAAGTAATTCAAGCCCTTTCAATGAGCTTGAATTACTTTTAGAGGGCTTGAAGCACTTTTGGGAGCTTGAAGCACTTTTGGGAGCTTGAAGCACTTTTGGGAGCTTGAAGCACTTTTGGGAGCTTGAAGCACTTTGAAAGGGCTTGAAGCACTTTAAAAGGGCTTGAAGCACTTTGAAAGGAATTTGAATTGACCATCATACAACCTATCCCCCACTTAAAAATTTTCGATCGTATTTTGTCCCTTAATTTTTTTTTTCTATTATTTGAACTTGAACCGGCTTATGTCTTTTCTCTCTTAACAATGGAGGTTTTGGGTTTGAGCTTAGAATGGAATTTTAAAAAAAAATGAATGAACTTATTATTCAAATAAATAATTAATTTATATTGGTAATTGGTATCCTATTTAACTTTATCACTGGATTTTTTTCACTTTTCCCCATTGAACATTTTGAAAACCTTAAAATTGAATTACCATGTAGTACCCCAACTACCCCAAGTACCCCAGAACTACATCTCAAAAAAAAAACATACTACTGCTACTCTGTGAAATGGAAATGTAAAGTTCGTCTCTCTACTATACCAATTCTGTGTGATGAGTGTACGCGGTAGCTTATGCCACTTTGAGAATTTTATTACAAATTCAAAGTGCTTTAGGCACATTTAAAGAGCTTCAAGCACATTTAAAGAGCTTCAAGCACATTTAAAGAGCTTGAAGCCCTTTTCAAGGCACCCCAAGCACTTTTGATGTGCTTCAAGCACTTTTCAAATCACTTTGAGGGCTTTGTGCTTGTCAAGCCCGAAGCACTTTGAGGGCTTTGTGCTTGTGAAAGCCCAAAGCACTTTGAGGGTTTTGTGCTTGTGAAGCACTTTTGAAAATAAAAAGGAATTTGTGCTTGAAATTGAAGCACTTTGATAGAGGGCTTAGGGCTTAGTGCTTCAAGTCCTTTTACTGAGGGCTTTGCCCAGCTCTGACTTCCAATAAGTAATCAAATGACAAACAATGAAGCATATATCTTTGGATATTTGGTAATGAATAAAAAAAAACAATTTATATTCATGTACAACAACAATATAATATATCATTATAAAATCGATAGAGGTACAATATTTCAGTCCAATTTGAAGATTTGCTCTAAAATTATAGAGTATAGAATATATAAAATATATGACAATAAACAAAGAGACACCCATAGTGGCCAGTGCCACTTATATATGCATAACAATTATTCAGAAAATAGCAATTTTCTCAAATAAAAAGCGGAATCAAGAACCAGTTTGATACTTAAGTTGAGTAACTTGAACAAATTCAAAATTGAAATAAAACAAAAAAAAAATCCATGCATGATTATTGTTAAAACTTAACACCTAAAATATATGGTTACACAGATTATCAAGGGCTGCTATATTCAGCCTTAAGATATTCAGTTGTAAAACGTTTTCAACACCGGTGTCCCTGTTTCCATTTCTCCACTTCGCGACGTATCCTGGTCACATCGATTGCGTAGGTCCTACAACACCCTCCCACCCAAGTAACTCCCAGATCCAGCCATTTGGCGATGTAGGTTTCGACCGGTTCGCATTTGTCACGGTTGATCCATCTGAATGAGGCCGAATCATCTCTTTGGTCAGTGAAAAAAAAAAAAAAATGTTGCCCAGAGTTAGTGAACGAAGAAGCAATGGGATATGGAATTATTGATGATAAAATTTGAGTTTATACCATGAGATGGGTTATATTCAATCTTAAAATATTAATAAAATTTCGTGCTTAAGGGCATGCACCATAGAGACAGATCGGAAAATGTTGGGGCCAAAAACTTAGTAATATACATACTCAGGGAATTTACAAAATGTGTAGTAGGATGATGGATGATGATGCATTTATCAACTTTGAGATGTTAAATAAACTGCTATCAGATGCTTTTTTTTGAATTCATGAAGGGCAAGGTAAGCATCTGAGGCTCACTTTTGCATATTACTTGGATCCCACCAAATTATTTCTATACGTCACGGTGTTTAATGATGAATCAGAAGATGAAGATGATCCAAAATCATGAAGATGATTGATATATTTATGTTTTATCATGCTTATTATTGAATAATTACCCCGTTCTTTGCGGAATACTCACACGTTCTGAAGTTTATCCTACAAAACTGATCATATATCTTGTCTAATTTGCGGGTTTCTTCCATAATATCTTTAATTTTACTATCAAAATGAAATTGTAGGTAATTCAAAAGAACAATATGTGTTTACCAGAAATATACTGATGAAAGTTTCCAGGCAAATGGCAATATGTAGTTTTTAATGGAGTACCTACCTCAGAAAGTGATAGTAGGTAGGTACCTACTCACACTGGAATCATTTGCTCAGAGCTTTACCTCCTCAATATATGATCGAAATTCAGGCAATATAATATAAACCAGGCTCAAAATAATTTTTCATGCAGTGCAAAAACAATACAAAATCAATTCTTACCCCATTTCCACGTTGTAACTTTCTCCGCTATTAGGATAGACAATCAAAGGAATAGGGTTATTCGGTCTATTACTGTTTATACCAGAAATAAGAGATTCAATCAATCTAGGGGCGGTGCAATTGACACCAACGGCCACAATTTGTTCCGGGTTTAAGTCGTAACAAGCTCTGGCAGTGTCTTGGAACGGTTCGCCATAAGCTGTGGATTTACCATCTTGCTACAATACAGTTTTATGAAGTACATGCCAATATGTTTATAACTAAAACGTACTGATACACTAAAAGAAAGCCAGGCTTTGGTTTGAGGGTATTTCTCTTTAAGCAGCTTGACCAACATTTCAGCTTCAGCTCGACAAGGAATTGTTTCGATGGCCAGTAAATCGACGCCGGCTTCAACGAGGGCGTTGATTCTGGGTATGTGCCATTCTTTCATGGTAGTAATTGGGGTTGTTGCCGCGTAGGAGCCATCGTATTCTGAACCGTCGTGCAAAGAGGCTCCGTATGGTCCTACTGAACCAACTACCAAGGGTTTTTCTAAAAATGATTTTTTATCAGAAATAAAAATATAAGGCTTATAGATATGAAAACATATTGAGACATGCATCCTTATAAATTTTAGGATGTTTCCAAATAAAGTTGGATAAGGATCGTGATGAACATTATTAAAAACCATCAAAGTTCATCCAGGTTTGTAGCATTGGAAGACCTATATACACTTTCTTTGGAGAGCTACAGATGAAGAGATTGCAACAAGAGCTGATATCTTGGCAATTATTTCATCAAGTAAGCTATGCAATGCAATTCCCCAGCCAACTGTCATGAAATAGGTCTTTCCTAATATCAACCAGCATATACCATTTCCAAATTTATCCAGGTCGTTTTCCAAAATCAACCGAATCATCCATCATACCATACAGTCGACAAGCAACTTCAAGAGCCGGGAATAAACAAAAATTGATTTTGAAAAATCATAATTGAGTAGTTTTTATATTACACGAAAGAAGAAATTGCCCCAGCCAACTCTCGTCAAATAGGCATTTCCTAACATCAACCACCATTACTACTTTCAAATTTATCCAGGTCGTTTTCCAAAATCAACCAAATCAATCCACCATACCATGCAGTCGACAAGCAACTTCAAAAGCCGGGAATAAACAAAAATTGATTTAAAAAAATCATAATTGAGTGGTTTTCATATTACGCGATAGGAAGTTAATAAGATACAGATTGACTTTCTGGCAAATATTTCAGAATAAAAAAAAATTGATGACAAAAAATCATAATTAAGTAATTTTTATATTAGGTAGGTACTTTTTGGGATATCATAGACTATAGACTGATCCAGAAGTAAGACAGGAGAGAAGGCACAAAATAAATAAATTAGGCACTTTCTTTATGAAAACAGATCTTTGAAGATACCTATCTCAGTTACTGACGGTTTCACAACAAGCAGTGATTTCTGAGAACTAAAAACAATCTTGGATCCAAGCTTGAAGGTAAAAGAAAAACAGCCTATTCATAACATCTACAGAAATTCTATAGGTATTCACAGTGCAATTGGAGGAAATCTCGTTTTAGAGAGGAGCATCATTTGAAGAAATTGTAGATGATGAATGCCAGAGAAGCAAGAAGAGTTACCAGCGAAAACCATTCAATGCTTATACTTACTAGCATTGGGAAATTCTTCCATAAATCTTTCAACAGCAGTATGAGCCATTTTACCAGCTTCTTTGATTAGGTTGTACGCTTCTTCTTTGGTAACATGTAAATGTTGAACGAATAAATCTATGTCAGCTTGGTATGTGTTTGTGATAATAACATCAGCTCCGGCTACAAAAAAAATATTACTTGAATCGAATTATTATATTGCGTATAAGTTTACCTCTTAAAAAGTCTATATGAGTATCGATAACAGCTTCAGGATCAGAAGCCAAAAATCTCGCGCTCCATAGAACATCTCCGTCGATTGGTGTTGATACGTGACAGCTCAGCTGAGTAGCAAAACCTCCATCGAGTACAACGATATTTTGACGTTCCGATGTTCCTTCTGGTAAGCCTGAACGACGTTCCGCAGAGCTACCAATGCCTGGTGGTGCCATATTGGATTGGAACTTCTGTGAAATAAACTTTGAGTCTTATTCGATGAATAACAACAAGATAAAACAATTTATCACGCATATGGACACAGGTCAATCCAACAAAACCGTCATTTTTTTATTTGGAAAAACATCAAAAACCTTTCAAATTCGCAGTCAAAACAAGAAAAAAACACTAAGATAACCCATAAGTATGTATACCTTCCAAGAATGCGTAGGTTATTTATTTGAAAACAAATTACATTAAAAAAATATTAATGAAAAATGAAAACACCACTGATTAGTTGAGTTGGATAATTATAATTATGTATAACGACTAATGAGTTAACTGTTTTACTATCGCAATAGATAATTAATAGAAAAAAATACATATATTTTCATTTCATTACAAAAGCTATATAATAATATTTAAATCGACAATTATGCCATTGTTTTTTTTTTTTTGTTATAAATTTAATGAAATTAATGCAATGCCTGACACATAGAGCTTTCGTGCGAAAAACAATACGCCCACAACACCGGTTGCTGAGTCAAGAATATGACTGAAAAAAAAACTAATCGCGATAAATATAAAATAAATATATTCAGGTTGAGCATGCGGTAAACAAGTTGCAACATTATTTTTGCTCGCATCATCAACCTGGTAAATAATTATAGTGCTTGTTTTGAATATTTGGTAAAACCCAATGCAAACGACTCTGTGACGCTATTGCTGGGCTTGTTTATACCAGAACAAGCTTGTACATTATTAAGTTCTTTCCTGATGGACTTCTATCAACTATCTCTTCCAAATTCTCTACACGTGGAATTTTCGATTGCTTTTATTTCTGTTAAGACATCCTGAACTTTCTTTTGTCAAATTACTTAGTTAGTTAGCAGTTCCTGATATTTTGCTTCTTCTTCCTTGTTTTTTATAATATCACTGAATTCATGTACTTAGTCATATTGGTATTATGTCTATCTAATATGGGTATTGGTCAGCTTATGTTTTAAGTCATGTTTTAAACTGAGAGATCATAAAATGGTATTTAGTATCTTATGAAGGTAAGTCAACAAATAAAAGATCATTTTCTCATTTTATTTTGCAATATAAACTAGTTGAAATTATAAAATAGGCATCAGAGGTCATACTCAACATAAAATAATTTAAACGGGGTTATCTTAAAATATCATTCTGTTTTGAAGTCGGTTCAATAATGATACAAGTGCTGCTTGCAAAAATAATTTATTACAATAATATTTTTGAGTACCTTCCTAAAGTTCCCTATATCATTCTCAAAGCATTCGATAAACAAAATTATCAACACGTGATTCTCATTTATGTCAAGTTCAAGTCCATTACCTACAGATCGTTTTTAGTTGAGCCTCAAAATAGACTTGATTATGAACAGATAAAAATAGGTTTGTAATTTTTAGACTGTTAAATTATTTTTATTCTGTCTCTCTCTCTGATAAAATTATATTGTTTAAGAGCCTATTTTAAGTCCTCAGGTTAACGAACCTAGATTATAAATATCAGGCATATCCAGTTAGTAACAACACACCATTTGCCAGTTTGATTATGGAATATTTTTTTTTACTCAAGTGGCTATCAGGAATTATCAGTAATAATGAGACAGTAGGCATATATTATTGGTATTTGAACAAGCATAATGAGTACCTAGTGCTAATCTATTCGAGTAGGTATAATTTTGCTAAGTTGATGAATTTTGGTGGTCTCTATCAAAACTTCCAATAAAAGGAAAATGCCTCAAAGCCATGTAAAGCGCCAATCCCAAACCTTTTTTGAAAAGAGCTGCTTTGGAAATAATTTGAAACCCTTTAAGGCCCTGTAGAAGAGCTTGAAACCTGTTAAGGCCCTGTAAAAGAGCTTGAAACCTGTTAATGCCCTGTAGAAGAGCTTAAAACCCGTTAAGGCCCTCTAGAAGAGTAATAAGCCCTTGAAATCAGAAAGTTTGCAAAGATTTCCTGAAAACCTCTAACAGTGTTTCAAAGAAAACGAAAATACAGATTCTATATAAAAAATTTGCAAAAGAAAGCCAGAAAAATTGTAAAGTGCGATGATTCAGAATCTTCGGATCTTAAGATCTTGGAGAAAAGCCAGGAAATTTGCAACCCATCAGGATTTACCGATGAGTCTTCTTAGAGGAAGACAAGAAATTTGGACAATCAAGACATTCGTATGATGGTCGTCTCAAAAACAGAAATTTTTTGACTCAGAAGATTCAACAAATATTCTAAAGAGATTTTTGGAGTCTCTCAAGGAGCAACCCTCTGGTAAAATTTGCACAGAAACTTCCTCCATTATTTAATTTTTTCCGTAGGTATACTACTTTCACTTTGGTATTTCTTTAATTGAGACTTCTTGAATACTTCCTAGATTCCCCACAAACTTTCTCAGTAGGTACTTCCCATACTTTCCTTCACTTGAGTATTTGACTTCCAAGTGAATACTTCCTTGGAGTCTTTATAGAAAAACCAAGAAACTGACTTAGAATTTGAATATTCTAGTCATATTATAAGAAGTACAGGAATCCAAGAAGCTATTTAGGTTTGTATAAATCATAAATCTCGCACCTGGGATATTTTGCAACCTCAAGTTTTAACAGAGAAAGATAAGAAATTTGGATAATCAAGAAATTCGTATGATGGTCATCTCAAAAACCAAAATTTTTTGACTCAAAAAATTCAACAATTATTCTAAAGAGATTTTTGGAGTCTCTCAAGGAGCAACTCTCTGGTAAAATTTGCACAGAAACTTCCTCCATTATTTGATTTTTCCCCTAGGTGTACTTCTTTGGTATTTCTTTAATTGAAACTTCTTGAATACTTCCTAGATTCCCCACAAACTTTCTCAGTAGGTACTTCCCATACTTTCCTTCACTTGAGTATTTGACTTCCAAGTGAATACTTCCTTGGAGTCTTTATAGAAAAACCAAGAAACTGACTTAGAATTTGAACATTCTAGTCATATTATAAGAAGTACAGGAATCCAAAGAGCTATTTAGAGGTTTGTATAAATCATTAATCTCACACCTGGGATATTTTGCATCCTCAAATTTTATAATCGACATCAAAATATTTTCCAAAATGGAAATCTAGTGAAATAAGACAAGTATTTTCTGAAAATTTATATTTATAATAACTTGCCCATGACGCATTTAAGTTTACTGTAAAATAAGGGTACCTACCTAGAGAAGGTGTTATCAGTTTGATTGATAGTCGCTTAAAGGTCGATTAAAACTTAAGTATATAACCGTAACGTCGTCATAACTTCAATAAAAGATTAAAATCAAAACAGTTCCATTCAGTCAGATAAACGTCGCTAAAACTTGAAATATAACTTTGTCACCAAAGTTGTGACAACGTACCTAAATGCGCAACTTGAATTGTAGAGTCGGTAGAAGGCTATTTTTCGACTAAGGTAGATACTGATATAATAATAGTTTTGTATACTTCCATATTAAGGCCTAGTTTATTCATCTGCAGACAAACTTATCAACTGATAATAATAATTGTCTACAAAATGAAGTTTATTACCAATCTATAATCGTATCTATTAGTCGACGGATAAGTGGCCGTTCAATAAGAGTGCGTTTCTATCTGTCAGATTGTTTATCAGAAGGTGCCTAAACCGAGTTTTAGTGATTTAAAACTGAAAAATTTGAAAAAGTGATAATGCACTATTGACCTAATAGTGTCAATGTGGTTTAAATTTAATCTACCTAGGTACTTAAATTTAAGAAAGAAACTTAAGGCCGGTATTTCAATGTCACCTTAAGGTTCAGTGATCCCTAATACAAGAAACTGTGATACAAGTTTCCCCAAACTTCCCAGAATCAAGGTGGATATAAGCCACCTCTGAACGAACTAATTTCAAGTTAACGTTAGGTAAGTCCTGATTTTAAGGTAACATTAAAATACCGACCCTTGAACTAAGTAATCATTATTTTCCAAAAATATATATTAAAACGTTATCATATTCCCAAGCTCTAGATTGGCGCCAAACGCCAAACGAAAAACAAAATGATTAACCTCAAATTTCTATTAAGGCGCCAAATCGTTCACTAGGTCACTTAACTTATCTTAACCCACATGGATTCCTAGAATCTCCAACCGATTTCTAAGAAAACGGCGCCCCGATATTAAACAGTTTAAAAGCCACTTACCTCTGTCACGAGTAATTTGTTCCGAATCGAGAATCGAGAAATTCAACCGACAACAAAACAGATAATTTAAATTGTAATTATTTTATTTGGTCAGGCACTACACGCGCTGTCCCTGAACCGAGAGCGTGGACTTGTGAAGTGAGAATTTCAAATTTCGATGCGTCAGTAGCGCGCTCGTGCAAACCAAACCGCGGAAATCTTTCTATTGAACCGATAAACAGGGGCCAGGGGAGTCCGTACTTAATAATATGCGATAAAGAACAGCAGAGATGATAAAAACAGAAATTATACACTGGCCTACACTATACAAACGTTGTTGTTTTAGAATTTGGAACCTGAAAAAACTGTCAGTCAAAATGTTTTCTACTGGTTTTTGTAGCTTCCTCACAGGTGGGTAGGTATTTCTACTACTAAAGTCAGTAGACAGGGTTTTTAAACTCACTATCGGAACAGAAATATGAGAAACAAAAACACCTATGAAAAGCTACTGATTAGAGCTGCTGGAAGCTGGAATTTTGAAATCTAGAACCTGAAAACTGTCAGTTAAAATGTTTTCTACAGGGCTATTTCTTTGTGAATAAAAACTGAGATGGCTCTAACCAACATCATCAACTCCACCCAATTCCAGAGGAGCAGAAAAAGATGAAAGAAGGCAACTGCTTGATGTCGAAAGACCCTCTAAAATAGTCTGGTCTAATTCAAGTTGACTGTAGATGACTATCAAGCAAAGTCTGAACTGGTTCAGAATTCTGTGACAGTAGGTACGTAGATTATTGTACAATTCTGATGGTTCAGACCAAAACTTCAACAGGAATTGGGTCTGGTGCATCAACTAAAAAATCGAAATCCTTTTTCAGAAGGTGAGGTGATGATCACAAGAAGACCTTATACGAAGAAAACCAGGGGAAAACTTCAAGAGTCTCATTTTCATTGGGACACACTTATATAATTCAAAATGAAAATTCACTTCAGCTTTCCATTCCCTTGATAAAAATTGATTGAAAATCGAGCAGTGTATTTTCTAATAAGAATACAATTATGTAAATTGCCATGCTTGTTTAAATATTTTGTTTACAAACCTGTCACGAATCTTTGATAATGTAATAACACTTAAGGGAGGGAAAAATTGATTTTCCTGTCTACTTTGTACTCACTCTGTGATCAACTACTCATACACTATTAAATTTGAAAAATATCGATGATGAAAGTATATAAATATTGCATCAGGCTAGAGAGATTACTACTATACTTTAGTAGCATACAAATAATTAAGTAGGTAGTATATTTACTTGGTGATAGATGGCAGTTTCTGATTTCTAAAAATCCTAATAAAACTATGATAATTGCATATACAGGGTGGAATTTCTAAATGGAATAAATTCAGTATCAAAAGTTGTGGCTACGTCTACCATTGCCAGTCATTTGTCCCAATGTCTACCATTGCCAGTCATTTTACCTTGTCCACCATTCCCAGTCATTTGTCCCATGTCCAGAGTGACAACCAGTTTGCGAAAAAAGCTGTCCAATGTCCAAAGCAATGATGACATAACTGGAAAAGATATTAATCTCGTGAAATACCAGTGACCTCTGGAGTTCCACAAGGTTCACATCTGGCTCCACTAATTTTCAATATCTTTATAAATGATGCGGCATCTTGTTTTGTTTCTTGCAGCATCCTTTTATTTGCAGATGATCTAAAGTCATTTAGAGTCATTTCCAGTCCTGCTGACTGTCTGGACCTTCAGCGCGACCTAAATGGATTTGTGGAATGGTGTGATTCCAATGGAATGGAGCTAAATGCGTCCAAGTGTAAACTCATGATTTTTTCACGAAAACGAGTAAAAACTAACTTTGATTATCTCATTAAGGATGACGTTCTTACAACAACTGAAACTATAAAGGACCTTGGTATCATGCTTAACCCTGAACTCTCTTATGTTGATCACATTACTGTCATTGTGAACAAAGCTTTTAGGATGCTCGGGTTCATAAAGAGGAACACTCATGATTTTGCCTCCATCCGTACGCTTAAGATTCTTTTTTGCAGTCTTGTTAGGTCTCATCTAGAATACGCGTCCTCTGTGTGGACTCCATACTATCAAATACATTCTTCAAGAATCGAGAGAGTTCAGAGAAAGTTTCTTCGCCATATTAACTACAAATTTTTCAACAATGAGAGCACATATCCTGTACTTTATCGAGAGTTGAATCTCCTTCCATTGGAGACTCGCAGGGATCTCCATGATCTTCATTGTCTTTTAAGAGTGTCCAATTCAATGATTGATTGTCCGCAACTCACTGGTAAGATTACTCTAAATGTTCCTCGGGTTAATACTCGAAATCATCTGTTCTTTAATGTACCATTTTGTCGTACTAACTATTATAGTAAAAACTCTTTTTTCCCTAGAGCCATGTCTCTGGCCAACAGATTTCCTGAGCTTGATTTCACTTGCACAGAGAACCATTTCCTCAGACAGCTGTCTCAGGTCATTCCAGTCCTGTATCCATAAGTGATTATTGCTTGGGTCTAAATTGTAATTGTAATTAAATTATATTATATATTTATATTTTTATATTTTCATAACTTGTAACATAGTTTTAAGCTACCAACCTTAGGCTTAGGTTTAGGCTAAGTATTGTGTATAATATTTCTCACTGTGAATTTTTGTAAAGAAAAAATGGACACTTTGTCCGTCAATAAATAAATAAAAAATAAATAAATAAGACAAAATGGACATAGAAAAGAGAAACCTGGAATGTTAGATGAATGTATTATTATTATGCCTGAAAAAGACAAATAGTATAAAATGGTAGTTTATCGTCGTGTGTAAAACAAAGTTTTTTTTCCATAGCCTAATTATGGACGCCTGTAGTATCGAAAATATTTAGAAATTATTTGAATCGAACACTTTTGCATAAGTAGAAATTCGTTTGTGAAAATATGTATGTATTTTTGACAAAATAAACGTCTTTATCTATCCTTGCTGTTAAAGTATCATTTGATCTATCCTTGCTGTTAAAGTACTACTTTATCTACTATTTTTAGTAGATTAAAGGCTACTTTACCAGTAGCTATGGAAAAAAATGTATTATTATTATTAGGTACCCACCCAAACTGATCCATAAAACCTCTATTGATCCATTTGTCCAGAGTCAAAACCATTCCCAACTGAAAAAGGACAAACTGGATTTAGGAGCGTTGAAGGTGGTCATTTGTATATGATATCCAGGGCCAAAACCAGCTCACTTCTTGGTTCAATTTGGATAAGGGATGCCTGGAAAAAAAAACTTCATGTTAGTGAAAATTTAAATGTTTTATGTTAGAAATTACTTATTTTTTCAGCTTCCAATATCCAACAAACTGAAAAAAATAAAATATTCAAAGGTGTCCAGAGCATCCTACCCTAGATTATCCAACGGTGTCCAGGGCATCATCCTACCCCAGAATATCCAACGGTTCCCAGAGCGTCCTACCCCGGAGAGCATAAAATCCTCATAAACAAAAAACACGGAAAAGGGATTTAAAAAAAATAAATTATCCAATGTTCTGGAAAGGCCTCTGGAAGCAACTTGGAGGGGCTCTATGTCCAGGAATGATGATGTTGTCTTCATCTGAAAGACACAAAACACAAAATTTATTTAGCTGTCAATATTCTGGATACAACTTATGTCCAAGAAGCTGCATTGTTCATGTTGATATTATCTTCATCTAGAACACACAAATGAGAATTATCCAAGAGAGCATTCAGCTGTTCCGTGTCCCTTTGGGCTTGATCCAATATTGAAATTACATTGTACCGACACCCAACAGCATCCGTAATTTAACCCCTTCCCGCCAGTATCAGTTTTGCCGCTGCTACACATACCGTGAAATATATTAGTGCGGCAAATGAGATCCAGCCTATGGCATTAGGCTTCTCCGCGGCGCAGCTAGTACCAAAAATAAACGCTCAAACCACCAATGTTGGTGAATATTGATGAAATGGAACTTCAATTTTTTTGATTGAGTGAATGAAAAGTTTACAACTAAATGCTTAATTATTATGTATGTGGAAATAGCAATTCTCCTAACGAGTGCGGGAAATGCCAATGAAAAATAACAAAATGGAAAATTAATGGAAATCAACTTGCAAAACCCAAATTAAGCAAAAATGTATTTTAATTTTTTTCTAGAAAATTACTAAAGGGAAAATTGTCAAATTTTCAGGGGGAAAAGAGGAAAGTTAAAAGCTCCATCATAATAAAATTTCGAAGTTTTCTAAAATAGAGGATGTCCTGATGAAACCTCTCACCTTGTTCGTTCGCTGACATCACCTAAGTTTTCTGGGAAAAAACTTAGGAGAGAATGTAAAAAATGAATTTTAAGTGACATTCTACAACCCATTTTCTGGTAGTTCTCCAGCAGTTCAGTAACAATACCGTCATAATTTTTCGATTTTTTGTTTTCCAAAAATTGCGTCACTACGCTTTTGAATGATTTCCAAGCTCGTAGTTCTAAATTATTGAGCTTTTTTTCGAAATCGTTACATTTCATAAGTTTTCGTATTTGTGGACCCACGAAAATACCTTCCTTCAATTTGGCGTCACTTAATTTTGGAAAAATTGTTTTCAGATATTGAAATGCATCGCTTTCCTTATTGAGAGCTTTGACAAAGTTTTCCACGAGTCCAAGTTTGATATGTATAGGAGGCAGAATAAGGACGTTTTTGGGTTCAACAAGAGGGACAAATTCAACATTTTCTTGGCCTGGTACAAACGACTTTCTTTCTGGCCATTCTTTAACATGGTAGTGTTTTTCAGTTGCTCTGCTATCCCAAAGACAGAGGAAACAGCAGTATTTTGTGAAATTTCCTTGTAGTCCAAGCAAAAAGGCAATGACTTTTAAATCTCCACATAGTTGCCATTTGAAACGTGTGTAGTTTATTGATTGAAGGATGACAGACATATTTTCGTAACTTTCTTTCATGTCAATGGCATAGCTCATAGGGATCGAAGGTTTTGTATTCCCATTATGTAACAAAACTGCTTTAAGGCTGGTTTTTGATGAATCCACAAACAACCTCCACTTATCTGGTTCATGTTTATTACCTAAACTCTCCATTAGTCCGACTGGATCTATACAGTAACACAATTTGTTTGCAGCCTCAAAAAATGTTGATAAAAGCTTGCTACGATCTCTAAATAGGTACACTTATTTTTGTGCCTTTTGCTAATAGATTCCATTGTTGTAATCTTGATCCCAAAAGTTCACTATGTTGTTTGGAGAGATTAGGGTCGCGAACTAAGTCATTTAGTTCATGCTGCTCTATCAAATGGGGCTCACTGCTTTTTTCTTCCAAAGTTGGTACAAATGAGGAAGCATCATCAAGAGATGGTGCAACATCAGACACTATATCCATTTCTACTGGAGGAACTGGTATTGGCAGCTCTCTTCGCCATGAGGAACAGGTCTTGTAGCTGAAGAAATGTTGGGGGGAACAATATTGCCTTTGTTCTTTGTTGAGAATCCCATAACATTTGTTAAACGGAAGTAACAATTGATATCATGATGGGTAGGGTCACGTCAGATCATTGGCACGGCAAAAGGCATTGAGGAACGTTTTATATTTATCCAATTGGTCAAATTTGCAATATATGCTTATACAGCAACGATGAAAATATAGCACAGCGGCAGAAAAAATTGTTCATGTATATAAACTGCTGGACACTCGAACTTTCACACATACAGATTTTTAGATAAAACTCAAGTTCTGATACTGAATTATATCCAGTGCTACAGACAAAATGAACAGTAGAGTTTTCTTCAAAACGCTCTCCTGAGAAGTTTTCAAATCAGAGATTGGCCACTTCGTAATGACAGCGACGATATGTCTAATAATCCGAGGAGGGTCCCCCCCCACGTTACCTCGGCTAACCGGGGTTCTACTGTACATCTAAGATTAGTTTTTTCTGTAAATAAATGAACCCTCCCCTTCCTTACACCATAAATGGTAGTTGCTCAGCCAAAAAGGCAACTACATGAACTGTAATCACGTAAAAAACCAAAAATCATTAATGTAAATAAAGGCTAAAGTCCACTACGAAAGCCAATTAAAATCTGTTTTTTTTTTAAAGATAAAAGTCAAACTGACATTATGTTGGCAATACAATGTAAAATTATCAATGCTTCAAATTTTTTATGTAGAAAAGGCTTGTGTTGCCAACTTAGTTACTAAATTTTTGACTTGGGGAATTATCTTTAAAAAAAAAAACAGACTCTAGGTATCGTAAGAATTTCATTATAATACTCTTTTTAAGAAAATATATCCCTATGTAATAAAATTGCAATTTCTTAATAAATAAATAAATAAATGAGATCTTCATAGTATTTTCTATCTAAGAGATATTCCCGATTACTACTTTTCAAATTGTCACCCTGTATGTCCGACGTGGCTTAAATGGAAACATCACTGTCGGGCAGTTTTGCCCGACGCGACATGCAATGTACGTTAATGACTGGCTTTCCAAAAGTGCACCCATAAGTGTCTCAAAAAAATTGAAAACTTTCAAATTGCCTTTTTGAAAAATATAGCTAGATAACTGGATAGCTATACTATCTCTATAGCAATCAGCTATATAGTATTATTGTGTAATGCACCTGTAGATGTTTGTATCATTTTTGGAAATAGCTGCAAATGTTTATTGGACAACCATTAGCAATTACCCCAAGGTGTTAATATGCGTTAGTTGTGTTGGGTTAGTTGGGTTGTTGCTAGTGGCAGTAAAGTGGCTTAGGCAGCCATTCAATTGAAAACTGGGCAATATCAATATTTTTTTGGAACACTCTAGCACTCTATTACAACAATACCTACATCCAGAACCCAGCATTCTATCTCATAGTAGTTTACATCCCTGGATCATTCATCCTTCACACAAGCCAAATAAAAAAAAAAAAAAATTATTGATGAAAATAGGCACGAAAGATTTTCTAGAAAACTAATTTTTGGATACCCTGTATAATTTACTAATTGCCCACTTATAGGGAATCAAATAAATAACCATTTAAATTTAAAAAAAAAAACTTAAATGAAAAAGTTCTGGATTGTTCTTTACTCAAACATTAGAAAAATCAAGAGTTGTTTATTCAAAATTCAAAATCCCAATTACCAAAAAATAATTGCTGGTACTAGGTACTTACCAAAATCCAGAAGTCATTTGGTACACTATAGGCACATGACACAATATTCGGAAAGTGACGACCGAAAAATCTTAGCTTGTGTGAGAAAAATCGATAATTCCCGGACGCGACTTTGCGGTAGGTACTTTATCTATCGGCGATCCGTATTCGACTTAATCCACTGATCTAAAAAATAAATGGATAAACAATCATACGGCTTCATTGGCAAAATTTGTGCGAAAATTTGGGGTCAATATTCTACGAACAGTTGTGCAACGGAACAGCCTAACGCCTGCGCAGTGGCTTATCTTTCGAACAACTGTTTTAAATTTTGAAATTCCTTCATTTTCATTGGCCAGACTTTGTGCACACACAGTACATGTATCTACTGCGCACGCTCATAGCTGTCCGAGTCAGTTGTTTTTGTTTAGATTATGACCTCGTAAATTAGCAGCATTAGAAGCGTTCTTTGTTTATCCATTTATTTTTGAGATCAGTGACTTAATCTTGTCTGACAAAGAAATCCGGATTTCAACCCCAACAAAAAAAAGGTAAACAGATAAGGTAATAAATATGAGTAAGTGAGATAGGCAAAAAAAAACTAACTGCGTAATAAAGTAGTACCCGACGGTAAATGTAAATCCTCTATTTCTAGTTAGTTACAGGGCCAAATTGGTATTAATTTTTTTTTAAAAGTTTTAGCTTTGTTTCAACAAAGCAGAAAACCGTACAATGTGCCGTCAAGATTCTGCGCAAAACCAAAAAGTTCGCATACAGAGTGGCTCCGAAACCGTTCTTGGGACGGTTTTTGGAACAGACCTTATTGATTAGAACTTTCAATTTTTGTCTATTCCAGGCCAAAATAATTCTGAGGTTTTTAAATTCTTCAAAATGTCGCTGGATAATGTTCCAAATGGCTTATTGAAGTTCTAAAGTGTTCTAGCTTGTCTTGAAGGGTTCTAGAGCATTCTAGAAGTTTTTTAAGTGAATTCTAAATTGTTCTTATAGATTTTTAAGTATTTTGGAGCCCTATTGAATCTCCAATAGGTATTCTAAGTTGGTTCAAAATAATTCTAAAATTGAATCCTAATTGTTTTAAAATAAATCTAAAATTTCTTAATTATTCTTCGATTATTTTCGAGCAAATTAATAATAACTATATATCATTGGAAAGAGCATTAAATTCTCTATAAGCCTGTGCTAAATTGGTTGTTGTAGCTTGTAGAGTTTCCAACATATTAAGCTTCAATGTTGAAATTTAGTCCACATTTTGTCCAAAGCTTCAAATTCTATTTTCTTAAAAACCATAAATGGTAGCGATTTCAACTAAACACCATCAGGAGCCCTCACCAAGACCTACAATTTCTGGAAATGTTGTTCCAATACCGCTTTTGGTTACCGAGATATTTGAGATTGAAGATTTACAAATAAAAATTGTTTAAACCTATAAATCAGACTAAAAAAATCAATCATCATCTAAAAAAACCTACCCTCAACCAATGTTAGAGGGGCCTTATTCTGTAAGAACAAACCGTTCGATTCGGTAGGATTTCTTCGATTGTGACGTCATTTTTGGTTTGGTTTTCGCGCTACCAAACCGAAAATCACGTCACAATCGAAGAAATTCTACCGAATCGAATGGTTCGTTTCTTACAGAATAAGACCTTATAAAACTACTTTACAAACTTGTGCAGGAAACAAAAAGACCACACGTAAAGCAGACATTCCATTAGTGAATCCATATCTGAACCCTTAGAGTTCATTCTTCACCCTTTTCATGAGTATTTTGATGGCATATTAGGTATAAAACATCTTCGTAAATTAAATTCAAATATTGATTTAAAAAATAAACTATTAGTAAATGACTATTTACAAATTCCTTTTCAATACAGGAAAAATTTCAATCAATACATAGTTGAAATACCTCCTAAAACTTTACAAAAGGTTACTTTTAAAACTAAGTTACCAAATAATACAACTTGGCTATTACCTTATGTGCTTCTTATAGAGGCTCCCCTTTCAAATCAATCAATCAATGATAATTGCATACTAAAAAAAATTATATTTTCTTACAAAAATCCTAATAATTGGTAACATAATTATAGCAGGAGGTTGTACTCTTCATAAGATTTTTGATAGCACAAATTACAAAAAAACATTCATAAAACAGTGGACTAGATCCGAACTTTTTTTAATACAAATAGATAATTTTTAAAATTTTCAAAAACAAGCACATATATAATATGAGAATACATCACAAAAAAGTCTTTCAAATATCTCACTTAAGTATTTAATTATAACTTAAAAATTATTATTATAATCTTTGTGGGTTTTGTTTAGCTTCCCTTTCATCTGCTTCCTGCAAAAACAAAAACATTTAGGTAAAAACATTAAACAAAATTTCAATTAACTTACTTGTTGTGCCTTAATTCCAGCATAAATCAAATCCAAACCTTTTTGTACTTCAGCACTGACCGGTGGCGGTGTTGGCAAATGGTCACCCGTCACGTGGAATCCAGTTTCATCAGCAATATAATTCACAGAAATAAGCTGACCATCGGGAGCGGTGTAAGAATAGGAACCTTGTTGCACTTGAGCGGCAAGCACGGCACCTTCTTCTTCTGGATCTGGTCCCAAGTCCTTCAGGTAACCTTCTTCTTGAGCAATTATGTTGTTACCAGTTTCCCACGAAGTTTTATATGAACCATCATTTCCTTGTTCCTTATCGAATCTAATGATAGGAATAGGAGTGGTCAGTTCTTTCTGTCTGGCATTCGAAATTGATGGTTGTTGTCCGGCTTGTTGAAGCGCTTGCTCATCAAGTTGTTCGTTCTGGAAACCTTGCGGTGCTGCGCGTCTTTGAGCAAAAGACACGCCCAGGACAATGGTTAGAACGATCTGAAATCGAATTTTTATTGTATTGGGTGCGTTAAATATCAAATCTATTGCACGAAGATTAAATTATTACCACACGCCCCAAGATGATGATGGCGCATAGTTACATAATTTGTTGAAGAAATTGCGTGAAATGTGCAATAAATATTTAAGCGCCAGAAGGAATAATTCCCTTTTATAAAATGTGCAATTAATGCCTAACCTTTTAGGCGGTGGAGAAATGTTATAAACCGCAACCTTGGTAATTGAAATTTAAATTAGCATGTCTTTTGATTTTCATTAGCGCTTAGAATACCGGATAAGAGATGTTTCATATTTGCATAATTAATTTTTTCCCAATTATTGGTAATAACATAAACCTGTTTTGGGCCAGTTTAAATGTCGATCTCTGTGGCAAAGCTGCAATAATCGTTTTACGTTCTAAAATAAATCTTCTGCAGTATACTAATGGTAACCTCCTGACATTATGGGCTTGAATGGATTGCATAACGAGGCACGTGCAATGTTATCGAGTTTGGGTTTGAAAGAATCAAGATGAGACTGGTTTGTAAAGGTAAAAAGAGCACGAAGAACATCATTTTTGGCAAATTTCTCTAGATTGGTAGGTATATTTGAATTTTGTTGATACAATAAGCATTGTAAAATTTTGATTTTGTAGTTGAAGATGTTGGCAAGAAACATCTTACAAGAGCTTTTGCAATTCTTCATTGTTTCCAGTCGTTTGAGATATCAATGTTTCTTTATTCAGATTCAGGCATCACAACTTTGAATCCTCCTAAGATGTTTTACTTGGAAAATTCTGAATAACTCCATATATCTTCCAGATATTTGGTTGAAACTTTCACAATGTCTTCCTCGGACTATTTCTCTTCTATTGCAGTTCTATGTTTATAATTTCTGTATTGTAGATCTTTGAAAAATTTTTGATCGGACAAGGAAATGTGATATTCTTCACTCATAAGTTTGTATTTTCTCAAAATAATCATTTTAAACTTTCAGAATATTTCCAATGAATCTTTTTCTTTCTATTTCACCTCTTTGCAGCATCATATTTTTCACTTTTTCTATCATTTATCAGGTAAGAAAATGTGAAATTGCATTGTAAGTTTCACAATGATTGTTCATTTCAAGATATTATGTCCAAACTTCCAGAATATCTTCCCCTCTTATTCAGTTCTTTACTGTGAGTTTCACGTTTCACGATGTTTCAACCTTCCAGCCTCTTAAAAAGAATTGTTAATTTTCAATGAAAACCCATTCACATCTATCAAAATCTTCCCGCAACCTTGAAGTTTGAAAAATAGAGAAAACTTCTAGTTTTTTTCTATAAGAGTTGGAGGGTCGTGAAGATTCTGTAGATTTTGAAAGACGACAACCAATAATCATAGATAAAAATGATGATCTGAAAATCAATCAAGATTCCTTTGTAAAATGATCCAGAAAGCTCTGAAAGACATGGCATTACAAACATAAAAATATTGTGAAGTATTACGGAAGCATCAGAAACCTTAGATAATGTAAACAAAGCAATCTTGAAATCCCATCAATGTTTAATAGTTTAAAAAAATACCCATAACCAAAACCATTGTCTATTACACAATCCTAATTCCTAATACATATTCCTAATCATCAAAACAAGATCTAATCTTAATCAAATCAATAGTGAAAGTATCGCATAATATATTTTGTCAAAAGTTCTAATGGCTTACCAAAACTTTCATGATGGATCGAGAAATTGAGCAACACCACAGATCACCGGCGCGGATGATTCGAATACAACAGACCTCGAAATCGGCAGGTCATTTTGTTTATATACAGCCCCCGCAGCTTCCCTCGGATCACTCTGGGGGGCATCAAGAAAATTGTAACATCTTTCAAATATCAAATCATCGATCCGAAAATGACGTGCGACTTTTTCGGTTTATGTAATCGACGTACCAAAGAGGAGAGATTCTTGGAATTTCTTTTTGATAATAATTGGGTTCTTTGGGTCAATTACCTTATTTGTGCAATCAGATTCTTATTTATTGACATTTCTAAAGCCCTTAAAACGAATTTTTTTTAATACAGTTTAAACAAATTGATTGTGCACTGTTCGGTCAAAACAATAATGTCCATATATAGGAAATTCAGCATTTGCTACATTCACATTCTTAGCCATCAGGCTTAATGATGGGTTTATTACTTGAGAATTTCAAAATTGGTACTTTACTAATGTAGGTCTGTCTTTGGCAAATGCATGTTGTTTCATTCAATAATATATATTTTGAACAAATGTATTGCAACCATCTTTCCAAATTCAGAATACTTAATTATTTAAATCCGATATTTTCAACATCCGCCCAAAAATTCAGTTATACGTACAAATCACTTTCTTTATTGAAATTTGCTATTTTTCCTAGAGATTACCCACTTACATAAAGTTAAAATTTGTAATTTAAACTATCTGATAAAATAAGTAAACTAATTTGCATAAGCCTATACGATTGTTAAAATTTCATTGCGGAATTCTTATTTTACATATTGGTGTGGCTGTCTAATAATGATTCATGTCTTAATTCTTGCAAGAATGGATTTACTTTTCTAGGAATGTAGGAAGAAGATCTTATTGACCAAGAAGTACTCAAATACATAGGGTTGACAATAAGGTAAGATAAATAAAAATAAAATAAAATAAATGATGTTAATCCATACATAAGTTTTGTTCCATAACGCATCAAGAAACGGTATACAATATATCGTCATGATTTTGCGCAAAGCCAAAAATTTGTGCGTAGAACCCAAAATTCGTATACAGAGTGGAACAAACCTTGTTCCAATCACGTTTCAACACGTCAAAAACTGTCCCATAAACAGTTTCAGAATCATTCTGTATAGGTACGAATTTCGCGTTCTACGTAATTTCCACTTATCTACCAGTTTTTTCTTAACTTTTCTCCTATTTATTTCTCAATTTTTTTTCTTTAAATTTTTGTCTATTCCCATCTATTGAGTTTTCGTTTTTTTATAAATTTCTTTAAATAGAGAAAATTCGAGAGTTTGGACTAGAAATAAAATATTTGGTGTCTACTTGTCTTCTTCTCTCTATTTCTCAATTTTTCTAGCTCAATCTAGTCTAGTCTATTCTCAAATCTCGGCCCTTGTAATTTCCACTTATTTACCAATTTTTCAATATTTCTTCTCTTTTTTTTTCCCCCCCCTATTCCAAACCTCTCTGACTTATTGTCTCCATGCAGCACTGAAGCCTGAGAAGGCTTATTTCAATTAGCCTGTGTGGTTTATTCCAACCATTTCAGTATTTTTGTGCGAGGTTGTACAGGTCTTTTACTGGGTGGAGTTTCATTATTGTTTCCGAGTCTACGTTTGGTTGTCCGAAAATGCTGTGTCTTCTGCGATCCAGTGCCTCGCAGTTCACCAGGATGTGCCTGGCTGTTTGCAATTAGGGTTTTCGTCCTACAGGTTCATTCTGTTCAGGTGGACCTTTATTGATGTGTGTTCAATCAAGCCAGTCCCGTTATGGTTCTCAGTCGGCTTCTTCTCATTTGTAGCAGTTCTAAGGCCCTTCTGCTGCATGGTTGGTCGATAAATTCCCTACCATGTTTCTGCCTGGAAGTTGTCCAGTCTCACCGATGTTCTTTATGAATCAAGTCTTTGATGTGGCTTCTGGTCATTCTTTCTCAGCACGAAGTTGATCCCGCACAGCAGGTGTTCTCAACTCCTTTGTGCTTGAGAGATCTGGTTAATGAATCGAAGGAAGTGTTGTCAAAAGCTTCCTCTATATCCAAGAAGCAACCCAGCATCACCTCTTTTGTGACGGAACTAGCTATTGCCCCTTTTTGGGCTTTACTCAAACCGCACCAGGCAACGACGTAGCTATAGCTTTTACATGGGGGGTTTAGAGCAGTGGTGGCTCGTGGTCTATGCTGGAAGGGGTTCCAATTTTAGACCAGACGGTGTATAATGGTAACCTGACGTAGCATAGCTCAGGATATATTTTTCAGGTGCCACGCCCAAAAACGTTTATTTTTCTTGAAAAAAAAATAATTTATTCAGTTCAATGGGGGTTTGAACCCCCAAAACCCCCCCTATATACGTATAACCACTAGGTATTGGATCATTTAGGCCTTGTATTGGGTTAGGGGTTACCTTGATTCTCATTTATACAAATAAAACGCTGAAATAGATTAATTATCAATTTAATTAATAAATGAAAGTAATTCGGTATAGTCAGCAATCAAATCCTATCTAAAAATTCCTAATTGGACGTCCAGTCGAACTACAAATTTCATTCTAATCTAAAGTTAATGAGTATCTTGATTTATAAAGGGTAGGGAAATCTGATAATGATAATAATTAGGGCTTCGCGAGACTACAAGACTAGTCTTGGTCTTGTCTTAGCTTGGTAGCAAGACCAAGACCAAGACCGAGACCTAATAAATCTTCTCAAGGCGGGATTTTTGGGCTCTATGGATTTTTCCCATTTTTTGATATGTTGTAGAGGATTTAATTCTGAACAACCTTTAAATGGGACAAAATCTTGTGGGTATTACGGCCTTTGAGATATGAGCGTTGAAAGATGAACTTTTTTGCAACTTTTTGTGTGGAGAGTATACGAGATACTGGTGCTACTGGTGTTAATCAGTCAAAATATTGACAGGTTCACATATTTTACGTCACTTGAAAATTAATGTCAACATAGGTTAAGGCCGGGACCGCACTGGGGTCAATGTTGGCGCCAGTGCGGTTCCGGCCTTAGCCTATGTTGACATTTATTAGTGACGTGAAATATGTCGACCTGTCAAAATTTTGACTGGCAAACACCAGCTCTTCGTCTACTCTCCACACAAAAAGTCGTAAAAAAGTTGATCTTTCAACGCTCATATCTCAAAGACCATAATACCTACAAGATTTGGTCCCATTTAAAGGTTGTTAAGAATTAAATCCTCTACAACATATCAAAAAATTGGCAAAATTCATAGAGCCCAAAAATCCCATGTAAGGTGTGCGTTATCCTTTGAATAAACTGGCCCTCAAAAATATAACATAGTGTAGATAACATTTATTTACACAGAACACAGAAAATACAAAAACAAATCTATAATCTGTCCAACGAACCTACGGAGTAATCAAATTACCTAACCTGCTACAGGTGAATTTCTAGCCCGATGTACACTGTAAAGTAGAGGGCAGGTACACATTTTTAAATAAATGGGATAAATCAGAATAAAATTTCAGTTAAGTGGCGTTGAAATTTTGTTTTCCAAAATGATTGTATTGCATTTTTTTATTTGACTATTTCACTAGGGTGTAGGTTTTTCATTTATCTAAGTGTTAGTAGACTGCGAAAAAATTCTATAATGATAATACATAATTTTTGATATTAGGGCCGCGTCAATGGCCGCCATGTTTAAATTTAGTTTTTGAAAATGGCGACTGCGCCACTCTACACATAGGGTTCAATATTTCATTTTTTGTCCAAAACAAAATCTGTTTGTCGGTGAAACACTTAGTGACAGAGAAAGACAAATATACAATTATGATGCTCCCAATGTAGCTTTTTTGCCGTGGCGCCATCTACTTGAAATTGCTTGAACTGTTTTCACCTTCAAAATTCGTTTTAAGGTCATCTCAATAAATCCGCAATAATTTCCAAAATCCTTTGGCATAAACATTATTTGATATATTATCTACAATCTCTACAATTAGCTTTTTTTAGTTTTTCGTGGTTATCAATAAAATATGCTTTTCGCGGATCCAAGCTTGATAAACATGCAAATATGCAACCACCAACACATTTAATTGTTTTGGTGGTTGCGAACATGATTTTTGAATTTAAAAAAAAGGCTGAATATCAAAAAACCAAAATAAGGAATTGTAGATAATCGATCAAATAATGTTTATGCCAAATTTGAGCCAATTCTGATGTGCCGTTTTTTTAAAGACCTTAAAACAAGTTTCGAAAAATCAACCAATCACAGTTTAAACATGGCGGCCATTAACGCAGCCCTAAATTATGATAGCAAGTCATAATATAGGTACCGACGCCACTGGTAATTCGACATTATGAAATTTGCAGGTATTTGTGCAGTGTAGATCAGGCCGACCAGCTCCGTCATGTTCACTCCATAGGTTCGTTGGACAGAGTATAGGAACAAACACAAAATACTGATTCTTTTCCAATCTATTGAGATTACAATGGTGTTATTTTTTAAGTAAGATCATTTTATATTTCATGAAAATGTTCAAATACATGACATAATATAGGTAAGGTTCGTTTCACCAGGGTTCATACTTGACCTTGAAACTTGAAAAAAAAGGGTTGTCGTAGATTAATTTATATGACACATTCAATTTTTTGACAATTTAAAATGAATGACTTCTGGTTTAAGAACCGACGAACGTTTTTGACGTCTTTGATTTGTTTCAGTCAATTTTTATTTGTTAAACAAGGAAGGCAAATGCTGGTGGCAAGTACAAACCCTGGCGAAACAAACTTTACCTATGAAGATTTTCCAAAATCAATCAAATTAGATTAGACAAATCGAAAAATTTACAAAGGATAACGCACACCTAACATGGGATTTTTGGGCTCTATGGATTTTGCCCATTTTTTGATATGTTGTAGAGGATTTAATTCTTAACAACCTTCAAATGGGACGAAATCTTGTAGGTATTACGGTCTTTGAGATATGAGCGTTGAAAGATGAACGTTTTTGCGACTTTTTGTGTGGAGAGTATACGAAAAACTGGTGTTTATCAGTCAAAATTTTGACAGGTCGACATATTTCACGTCAGTAACAAATGTCAAC